GGAAGGAGAGGAGGGAGGGGAAACTTTGGTCAGGATGTAAAAACAAACAAAGAACAAAACAAAAGAGCAAAGCAATAACAATAAAATCTTTGAAAACCTCACATTAAAAACTGACTGTGGAAGGAAACAAAAGGTGGTGGCAGAGTCATGGAGATGGATTTTTTTTTTTTTTGAGTTTAAAACACAATTCTTTGATTCTGCTTTATTATCGGATAAAACCAGAAAACAAAAAGAAAAAGGAAAGCAAAAAGGGATGATAATTTTTTCTCAGTAATTATGTCTCTGGTAGCAGTACAATGGGGTATTGTTTGTTTTTTAGATGGCTGTATATTAAATGGATAATTATGTTGATGTAAGAAAATGGGATGTTAGTTGCAAAAAGAGTAGATAAATGTTAGACTGGGAAGTCTAAGTACAAGTCCTCTGTAATTTTTACTGTAAATACTATTGTGAACGCATGGCTTACTTTAAACATACCATTTTAACCATTTAGAAGGCATAGAGCCAAGAGTACTTCTAGAATTTATTTTAGGATTTCTAAATACTATTTCCAAAGGAGCTACAACTCCTTGGAGAAATGACTGAAGGCTTGGCCCAAGGCGAGAAATGAATGAAGTGAACCTGAGGCATGTTATTATTTGAGAAATTGAAGGGGTTATTACAAGTCATTGTTGTCATACCCCAAAGATTCAAGAACCAGTCTGAAAAGGTGTTCAGTGAAAAAAGACGGTTCAAGTGAAGCATCAATAAGGATGACAAGTATAATAGATCGAAACACATTTGTATTCAAAGTCAAGAATTTAAAACTCAACCATGGGCCCAACAATGGAGGATACTCAGTGGTTAAATTTATTGTCTACTTGTCACAGCCTAGAATTATCTGGGAAGGGGTAACCTCAGCTGAAAAATTAGACAGATCAGATAGCCTGAGGCCACGTCTCTGAGAGATTGTCTTGATGGATGATTGATGTGGGAGGACCGGCCTAAGAAAGGTGAGTCTTGCCTCGGTAAGACAGCCAGCTCAGCACAAGCCAGTGAGCAGCATTCCCTTCTGGTTCCTGCTTCGTTTCCTGTTTAAACTCCTGCCCTAATGTCCCTCCATAATGGACTATGACCCACAATTGTAAACGAAAATACACTCTTTCCTCCCCTAAGTTGCTTTTGACCATGGTGTTTATCATAGAAATAAAAAGCAAACTGGAAAAACAACCATAACTTTTAAAACTGGTCAATAAGAGCCACAGTAACAACAACCCAATCAGGTATTCATCCTGTCTTATACAGGCTCCAGAAAGGTGCTGGGGTCCCCTCTGTTCTTGGAAACCTACTGGGTAGCAATGGTCACAGCATATATTGGAGCAAGCAGGTAATTATGCCCTGAACCCAAGAATTGACAGGAATGGGCTTAGGGTTTTTTTTTTTAATTTTTTTTGGAATGTGCCATTTTATTTTGCAAAGATTCATGCTTTATGTCACATGATGTTAGCATTCAGAGATCAACTAGAGCCAGGTCTCACCAGACCTACAATCTGATGGCACACCCAAGGACCTAAAGAATCAGCATAGAGAGCCACCTGGGAAAGTTTTCACAACAAGACCCTTCTGGGCCACAAAATCCAAGTCAAATTTTCAGCATTTTTACGTCTTCTATTAGTCTGAGAGAGATGCACCGTAGCTATTCACCTATGGAAAGTGGACTTCTGCCTTTATCTACTGTTTCTCTCGTGACTGTTGCTGTTATGGCTTTTGAGTCATATCTAGTATGCAATATACTCCAAAGCATTCTATATTACTCTTTGCTGTGTTAAAATTGTTGGCAATATTTCAGCCTTGCTGGTATTAGTATCCATACACATGGCTTCTTTTTAATAACATTCGTCTTATATCCTTCTCCCTGCCCCCCATCCCATATACTTTTGATCATTCTGTTTTGAACTGCTATGGATCATTTCCTCTCAAGTATTTTTTTTATGAGCAAGATTGAAAAGCTGAAAGTGTTTGATTTTGTTACTTTACTAAGAAAAAGTTATAGACTGTAACCACTGTCTGGCATGAACTGCAACTACTGGCCCTAATGAGTGACCATTTAATGTCATTTTGAAGCCAGGGCTCAGGAAGCAGTTTGCCTTTGCTCTTTCCCGTCAGCACCTTGCCTTCTCCTCTTCTGTTATTTTACCAGCACCCCCGAGAGTTATGAAACATGCAAAAAGAAAACCATTTTAAAGACCTTAGGAGCCTAGATCACTAACAAGGGAGAGTATTTGGCGGCTGAGAATCTCGGAGGAAGCTCAAACTCCTTGCTGCCCCAGTGGGGGTCACCAAGCTGTCCTCAGCCTGTTCATGACCTGGCTCCTGGAGGGGCCTCATCATGCAAAGAAAAGGAAAGAAGATAGACAGTCTAAGTGTGACAGTGTCTCACTGACCCAGACGGTAGGCAGAAATCTGCAGTAATAAGCCCAGCCGCCCCTTGGGCACAGGGAAGGAGGGGAGAGAAAGCTTTAGAGAAATGACCCCAGCTCCATTTATAAGCCGCTTGGCTTAGATTCCTCCAAAAACCTTAATAACAAATCCTGCCCAAGAAATTTTAAATTGATATCAGCTGGCTAGCAGGGCTAAATTTGATTAAAACCAGCCCCCAGGGTCGGAGATATCATCTATGTTTGGCTCACAGAACAAACTTTATGAGGCTCAATATCGGTTTTTAAAAACAGAATAGGATTGGGAACTTTGGAAAAGAGAGACAAAGGAAAACTTCTCCAAAGTTATGGTGCATAAACTCGCCCTTCCTAAATACCCCTTCCCTCTGGAACAGTTTGCAGGGATAGGAGCTTAGGAGATGTTGGGGCTGAGCTGGGGATCAGCGTTCCCAGGAGTTGAGGTCCAAGGGTGGGAGCCTAAATACTTAGTGCAGCCTGGATTCCAGCTCTTTTTTTGTTTGTGTAAGTCCCATGCTGCTCACTGTATATCTGCATCTTCCAGGGCGATTGTCTTCTCAAATAGTGGCAGCTTTTCTGCTAACTTTGTTCTCTTCTTTCCTTGCAGACACCCAGAGCCGAATTTCTGGAAAAGAATGGTGTTTGGAACCTCACAGGGAGGGGCAATTTCACTGTTGGCAGCTCAGCTTCCTGAGCTTTGGTGGGAGTTTTGGGACTAAGGCATCTCTTCAGACTGCAGCTCCTCCTCAGGTGTTTATCAACAAACACACATGTAAAACGTAACAATGACTTTTGAGATTTAAATTTTTTATCATTATTTTATGTGTCTGGGTGTTTTGCCTGCATGTGTGTCTGTGTACTGTGTGAATGTGTACCTGTGGAGGTCAGAAGAGTGAACCCAATCCCCTGGAACTGGGATTACATGTGGTTGTGTCTCACCATGTGGGTCCTGGGAATCAAACTCAGGTCCTCTGTAAGACCAGTGTTCTTAACCACTGAGCCATTTCTCCGGCCCTTGTTTTTGGTACATTCTTATGAAATTAAAGTTACACCAAACAAGAGAGGAAATCAGCAGAAGAGTTACTATATTTGAGCATGATTACCTCATATTTTCAAAAGATATATGATGCGCTATATTGATTTGTCCAAATTATCAGACTGGAAGCCACATGAGTTGTAGGACACAGAGATCATGGAATGAAGGCATGGACGAAGAGCACATTTATTAAAGAAGCATACCATGTTTGAGTCGAATTAGGCATAATACTAATACTTACCCAAAGAAAATAAAAGTACAGCACATACACATACACAACATAGCCCCTAAGATGTCTGGTCCTTGCATGTTCTAACACAGCTGTATTGCGACTGGATGATCTGAGAGAACATCAGATACAAGCAACTTCTTAGAGCAACTCAGATGTACAGAGAAGAGGAGGTATATAGAAGGCTTATAGAGGTAAATAATTTTCTAAATAAGATCTCCTCTTTAATAATTTTGTTAGGAGAAATGTCTTATAACATCAATTTCACTCATCTAAGTGTGTAGTACAGTGCATTTTTGCAGAAGTAGAATTGGGAAAGTGTAAGTTGAATCTTAAAAAATTTGCATTATTCAAAAACAAAAATAAACAAGCAAACAAAAAAAAAACACCAGAAACTGCATGTGTGAACAGTCTTTCCATCTTTGTCTGTCCCTATAACTTATCATCTCTCCAAGGAACAACAGCAAGAATCTACCTCCTTTCCTTTGGACTTAAATATTCTGGAACAGCTATACAACTGACACAGGATGCATCATCCTTTCTTCCTGGCTTCTTGACCTTATCATAACGTTTTCAAGGTCTATATAGCATGAGTCAGTCTTCAGTCTTCCCTCTGATCACACAACGCTCTGTTTATACGCGGCTGCCGCTTGATAGACGTTTGCGTTATTTCTTCTTTTCGGTCACTGTGAACAATCTGCTATAAACACATATGGGTTTTTAATGTAGACAAGTTTTTCATTTATCTTGGGCATATAATCGGATTTAGAATAGTGTAGTAACATGATAGCTCTGTGTTTAACCTTTTGAAGAAATGTCAAACAGCTCTCTAAAGCAGCTGAGACATTTTCCACTCGCAGCAGCAATGGATAAGAGCTCCAGCTTCTCAGCATCCTTGTCAACACTAGCTAATGCTCATCCTTTGATTAAGGACATACTGAGTGCACAGCAGAATCCTATTCTACGTTTGATTCATGTTTTCTCTATGACCACAATGCCAAGAATCCTTTTAGGCACCTGTTGACCATCACCTATCTTCTTTGAAGGTAAGTCTAGTCAATTATTTTGTCTATTTCAAATTATATTACTTATCTTTTTAATCAATTACTTATAAAGTTTCAATTTTAGACTCAACTTTCTCAATAGTTTTCTTTGAAATCCAAGTATTTATAATTTTGTTGAAATCTAAAGAAATAGTTTCCTTCCTTTGGTTACATGTTTTAGATGTGGTAACAAAGACAACCGTTGTGCAACATAATTAGATTATTAGCTTTATTAAAATAGAAGAGTTTGGGTACGACCTTCATGTGTCTTAAAACTTAAGCTTCAGTTTTACTAGTTTTTTTTTTTTTTAAATCATTCTGTGGCTGAAATCTTGCTCCATCTTCTTCAGAAGGACTACTTTAATTAAAAATGTGTCCAGAAAGATTATGTAGGAGAGGGGGTTTCAGCTGCTATCCAAGGCAGGCCAGCATTTAGGGTGTTCGTGTGTGAGTTCGCATTACTCTTGTTTTCCCTCCTATAATGAAGGAAGGCAGGTTAATCACTACGGAGACTCTCCCTCTGCTTGGATCCAGACTCCTTCCTGAAAACACAGCCATGTGTATGAGTTTGCAACCTCACTTTTCTCTCTGTACCTCACAGCCAGAAAGACTAGGCGCTGCTCTTGCCAGTAACTTCTGAAATTCAGGGTTGGGAGGGCAGGAGACAGGGTCTCACTGTGTGGACATGTGCTAGCCTAAACTCACAGAGTCCCTCCTGCCTCTGCCTCCCAAATGCTGGGATTCAAGACATGCAGTACAACACCTGGCCAGCTTCTGACTGTAGCCTTTTGTAATCCCTTAGCAGAAGTGAAGGCCCTCTTTCTTTCTCTATTAGACTATTGAAATAACGGACCACAAGAAAGCAGAATTTCTCAGGAATCTTTTGCCAAGGGAAGGGAAAGGCTGTAGCCTAGTTTTAGCCAGAGGAAGAATTCGCTGTCTCCCAGGAAGAACTTTCACACAGTTCTGGCAGCTTTCTGGACCACTTTTCAGGACAGCGTCAGGGGCAGGTGGAGAACCAGATAATGTTGGGTCAGTGTTGGGTGGGACCACACTGTAACCAGGGCTGCTTAGTTCGGCCTAGTTTTTACCCTCCATTTAAACCTAAAATCCATATTGGTACTTGGAAGATGGACTTGGAGGGTTACCCCTGGACCCCATTTGCTTCTCTCACCACTGTAGGCACTTATAAAAAAAAAACCCTCCTTTTTCTGCTTTCCACTATGACACTTCTTTAACTGCCATCCTTAGGACCAGTGACTGAGCTTAGTTTAGGCCCGGGGGTTCACAAAATACCCTGAAAAATCTGCTCTGGGAGATGGCTCAGGGGATGAAACTCACATCCTATAAATCTGAGGGCTGCAGTTTGGTTCACCGGAATTCACAAAAAATCTTACCTGGTAGTGATTGTCTGTAATTCCAGGACTCAAGAATCAAAAACATGGGAACCCTAGGGCAAACTGGCTAGCTACGGTAGCCAATAGGTTCAATGGAGAGACCTTGCTTCAATAAAGTGGAGAATGACTGAGGATGGCATCCATGTAGACATGCATACATTCAAACATACATAACACACACACATACACACACACACACAATGCACACTTACTGAAATAAAAAAAATGTAGTTCCCTTTTTCTTTCTTTCTTTTTTGAAATTCTGGTGTCTGCTTGTTCCTCAGCCTCCTCTCTCCTCACCCTTCTCTTCTCAAGATCCTTGTTCAAAACCAGCTGGAGTCAGAAGCCTTTGCGGTTATTTAGGACCTGGGAATACTGACTTCTCCAGGTTTTATTTTTAAGATGTGGGTTTGGGAGGGGCTGCAGCTCAGTGGTGGATTGTGTGCTCATCAAGTCGCCAGACTGAGCTCAGTCTTCAGCACCAGAAGAAAAGAGAATGTGGTTTCTTTTGTTGCCCACTCTCTTTTATGTTTTGAGATAACTCCCAGGAGAAAAGGGAGTGTATGAGAAGCTCATAACAGTTCCCATATTAAATAAATATCTCCGTTAACTGCAATAGCCAGCTACAAGTCACAGGAAACTCATTGGGTCTCACCAGCCTGCATTCATTTCCCTGTGAGTATTAAATATCCACTCTGTATTAGGCCTCTTGGTACAATGTGGTTTTAGATTTCTACTAGTAATATTTCATTGCACTTTGATATAAGCACTTACCAACTTATTACTTTAAGGATATTTTTCTAATAGTAACTTACCTTTTTATGTGTAGCAGTATATAAAAACATTAGCCCTAGAAATTCGGAAACACGTGAGGATGAACCTGCACTGAATAAGGAAACATTTAAGAGTATGATCCAAGCCAGGTGGTGGTGGCGCACGCCTTTAATCCGAGCACTCGGGAGGCAGAGGCAGGTGGAGTTCTGTGAGTTGGAGGCCATCCTGGTCTATAAGAGCTAGTTCCAAGACAGGCTCCAAAGCTGCAGAGAAATGCTGTCTCAAAAAAAAAAAAAGTGTATGTTCCTGCTAGTCTTGTGCTAATGAGAGCTGTTTTAATTCAATAGAATGTAATAATGGGCATCATTTACTGAATGTCCTATATATCAAGCCTTCTACACAAGGTTTGTGTATATGTTATCTCTTATATGGCAGTTTTAAAATTTGCATTATTTATTTTTTTCACGCATGAGCAAAGCATATATCAGAAGACTAGCTTCAGCTCACACAGCTTCTCTGAGGTAAAGTCAGGCTTCTGATAGCTTTGTGGGTACCATACCCATGCCCAGCAATGTCATGTTTTCTCATACTTGATGACAAGGACTTCCTCCCACCAGCAGCATGAGGTCTGCATCTTCCTGGCCAGCTCTTGTGAAGGCCTTGGGAGTGTGAGGTCCTCTATGAAGGAGACTGGGGGGAAACTGCTGGGACATTTCTGGACAAGCTTTTGTCTAAAAGACAAAACAAAAAAATGGTACAGGATAACAACAGTTCTTCACCTGATGTGTGTGCACCAAGCAGGTAAGTTAGAGATGGGCAAAGAGAAGGGTGGAGTATTGGTTTCATTCATGGACTTCTTAACCATGAAAGACCAGACTTCTCAGACTTTTGCACAATGTCAGAATGAGATCCTTACAACGGTGCCTCCTATAGTTTATACTGTGGAACAATTTTCATTCTGAACTATTAGGGGCGTTAAATGTTTCATTCTAAGGTCACTCTGTGTAGCTGTTCACAAGAAGGCTTTTAAGACCAGTGCCCTTGTTTTTGACTGAGTGTTTTGTTTATCTGGGTTTCTTTTTGAATAGTCAGCCATTATTATTCTCTGCAGACTCTCTTCTTGGAAACAAATTCCTTTACTCGCAAGCTGCTCTGGCTCATTCTGCTGCACACCACTCCACTTCTAAGCTAGTCGATCTCTGTCCCCAATGTGTCTGCTCACGATTGCCAGTTTCGTCTGCATGCATTTCTCCCCCAGTGTCCTGGAAACAGATGCTGTTGTCCAAGCTCTTTCCCACACCGAAATAAATGCAACAGGACTGCAATAAAAACAAGACACATTTGCTGGTTTCAAATTATTTTAAACAGCAAAACCAGATGTCCCAGCTGATCCAGATTCCATTAGACAGATGAGTTCAATTTTCTATCATTATGTAAGGCATTTACACTTATGAAATGGCATGGAATGAAGGTATATCAGAAATCCTTGAAAATTAGCATCTCACATTCTTTTGGAAGTAATCACTCTGTAAATAATTATTTAAGTCTTTTTGTCCTTGCTTTGCATTCACGTGTGTTAGGAATGTGACTCCTACCTGAAAGTGGGGTTTCTAAGAGGTAACTGATGTTAAATAAAACCCTGGGATAAGGCCCGATCTGATTGGTGGGAATCTTAGAACAATAAGATTTCCCCCTCTTTCTCTACCATATGAAGAGACAAGAAAGTAGAAATCTTCAAACTAAGAAGACTGTCTTCATACATGTAGATGGAAGTTTATGTCCTGCCTTGTCCTGCATTCCGTCCCAAAGAAACACACAGAGCCTTATATTAATTATAAACTCTTTGGCCTGTTAGCTAAGGCTTATTATTATTATTATGATTAACTAGCTCTTTCAACTTACAGCCCTGCACTTTCCTAGGACTTGCCAATTAACATAAATTTTCTATTCAGGATCTCCTAAAGATATCATTGCTCCCAAACAGCAGGAAGTAAATTTAAGAATATGACATCCACATTCCCAAGAGGTGGGGTAGGTGATTTTTGGTCATTAAATGGAATATGGAAATTTGTAATTGTTCGTGGGGAGTTGGTTACAAGTTATTATTGACAATAGTCAGGAAAAAAGCTAAACAAAGGAAATTAGATTCAAGTTTCTTGTTTTGTAAAGAAAAAAGGGGGATATAGATATGATAAAATAAAAGGGTATATTAGTGAATCTACTCTGAAAAGAAGAAAGGAAGGATATAGCTATAACAATATATAAAAGTAGATTATTAAAACTACTTTTAGAAAGCAGCTACTAGTTTTAAATGTTTTACATTTGATTGGACTTTTGTATGTAGTATAAAAATTTTGTATATTGATACAAATTTAAGATTAATTTCATTAAAATATACTGTATATATGTTTCTAGTCTTGTTCAAGGTATTATACTTATATAGCTCACTTAACAATGTAATGCAAATTTCTAGTCTTTGGAAGTTATTGTTACCAACTATTTAGGATAATAAGGAAATGCAGGTTAACAACTAGTCGCTTATTATAATTGAACTTGTAGTCACATTAGGTATGTTTTCAAGGTCAAATATAGATATATTTTAGATAGACAGGTTATCTTCAAACCCTTTGGAGATCTACAGAATATAGCATTTTAAACAACGTTTTAATAATATAAGTTCATTTTTTTATAATGAGACATGTCTGCTCCTGGCAGCACCATTCTACTTCAGAGAATATAATGGGCATTGAAAAAAGCCCACATGGGGTTTACTTTCTTTGTGGCAAAAGTTCCACAATTTCTTTGTGGAACAAGAAAATGCCCTTGCCTCAACTGCTGACAGTATACTTTCCTAATTGGACAAGCAGAACACAAAAGAAAGTGACTACCAAACATTGTAAAGACAAGGAGAAACAGCCCTTCAGAATATCTTGCTTCACAGAAAAGTCTGTCAGATATGCTAGGCCTGTAGGCCAAAGAGATACCCCAACATTGCAGAGAAACTTTGGGTGACTGTCCAGGCAGCCAGTTGTTTCTGTCGTTTCTCACATATTTTGGAAGGCGCTTGCTTGTACTTCCTGCTTACTCAGTTAATATTATTTCCTTCTTGGGTCTCTGAGGGAGTTGAAGGCTAGATAGTTATAGTTTTCCTAGGTTATCTGACACAAAAAGCAAGTTTTGATATAAAGTAAATTGGGCACAAGACTTTGAACTCAACAAGATAGGATATATATGAAATATTTTTTTTCTGAATTTGTCAAATGCAAATAGACCAGATATTGTTGATGTATTTATTTTTCTCATTCCCTTGACCACAACAATCAATCATCTACTAACCCACGTTGTTTTGTGGTAGAATAGTTTTCACTACTATGTAAATATAATCTTAGAATTGCTTTCTCTTTTTTCTTTCCCCGTCTTCCCTCATTTCTTCATTCCTTCCTTCTTTCTTTCATTTTACTTTATTTTAATGCTGAGAATTGAAACCAGAACCTTGAAGACGATAGGCAAATACTCTAGCTCTGAGCTGCCTCTCTTCCTTTTGCTAAAGAAGATTTATTATTTAATTACTTTAAATTGTGTGTGTAAGTGTTGGTGTGTGTGGAATGTGCATTTGAGCACTGATATGAGTGCATGGGAGGCAAATAAGGCCAAATCTTCCTGGAGTGTAATTGGAGACCACACTTTGTTTCCTGGCTGCATAGAAACTGTATTAATTTCACCAATGTTTGGCTGATGGCTCAGGTGCATTTTTAGCAAGCTCTTACATCTTCAATTAGCCCGTTTCTATTATTTTATATTTTATCATGAGGCTCATGGTTTGTTACCTCTTGCTTCTTGGGTGACTGCATGGCATCTGCCTGACTCCACCTTCTTTCTCCCTACATTCAGTTTATTTTTCCCACCTAACTATATTCTGCCCTGCCAAAAGCCAAAGCAGCTTCTTTATTAACCAATGGTAATAAAACACGTTCACAGCATACGGAGGGGAATCCAACATCATCTCCCCTTTTCTGTCTAAATAAAAAGGAAGGTTTTAACTTTAAAATAGTAAAATTACATATAACAAAACAGGTATCTAGCAAGAATTACAATTACAATATTTAGTCTATTTGTAGCTGGCTCAATTAAAGAAAATATTCTATCATCTATTTTATGTTTGTGAGTTTCATATCTAATTTATATTTTATCATAATTAAGGAAAACTATACTATCTGTCTTCAACTCCATCAAAGACCCCAGAATGATATAATATCACTGAAGTAAACAGGAAGTGCATTGTAAGCAACTTCCAAAACTCTAGAATTGACAGAGACATCTTGCTGTCTGAACAGTCACCCAACGTTCTTCTGTAACATTGGGGCATCCATCTTTGGCCTATAGGCCTATCATAACGGACAAACTTTTCTGTGAAGCAGGATATTTGGAAGGGCTGTACTTCTTTGTTTGACAAAGTTCATCAGTTGCTTTCTTCTGTGTCCTGCCGATTGTCTGGCAGTTTCCTCTGTGAAGTAGGAACCCTGGACCATCTCATCTTTTGGAAAGTTCAGCAGTCACATTTCTGTGGGTCCTGCATGTCCAGTTTATACAGCATACCATCAAGAAGTGTAGACAAGAGCAATTTTTTTTGCCCAAATTGCTAGTCTTGTCACTTTGAAGGCTAATTTCATAATGAGTTTCTTCATTGCCCATCAACCTCTCTAAGGTAATTGGTACTGCAAGAAGCAGACATGTCTCATTGTCAAAAAAAAAGCCTAAGTTCTTGAAACCTTTTAAATGACATATTCTGTAGGTCTTTGAAGTGTTGAAGATTATCTATCTAACTGAAATATATCTCTGTATATCTAGAAAAACTAATATGGCTAAAAGTTTGACTATTATAAATGACTATCTATTAATCTGCCATTTTCAATTATACATTTCACTTTAAATGAGCTGTATAAACGTAATACCTTAAAGAAGAGTGGAAACATACATATAACAAAATTGACCTTAAGCTTGTATCAATAAACTGAAGTTCATACTAATGTATTCTTTTCTATATCATATCATTCCCCTCCTTTTTATGAAAGAGATTGACAGTGACCATTAACTCCTTATAATAAACCCATTTTAAGTGAAAGCAAACATTTATAAATAATCAATTGGGAATTTGGGCATTGTTTTCTCCAAACTGCTTCCTGCTGTTTTTTTCGGGGGGTGGTGGTGGTGAAGTATTTTTAGGTTTCAGGGAGACCTTTCTAGAGCTCTTGTTCCATCAAGCCACATTAGCCTGGAAGGAATCCACAGGTTCTCATCTTCTGTGGAAACAAAAGAAGAACCTCTTTTCTAAAGTAACATATTCTTAGACTCAAATTTTGAAGTCAAGATACCTTAAAATATATATGTTGGTTTATCTTACAGCCCTCAGAATAAAATATCTCTCTGCAGTCAAAAAATTTTTAAAAAGAACAATAATATACATAATCCATATTGTGTATTTTTCATCTTTATATTACTTTTTTTAATAATATTTTTACTGTCTCTTTACAGACTTTGTTTTATTGTTTCTTTCAATAACTGCCTATAACCATTTTTTTCTTAAACCTAAGTACATTTTTATACACACTCTGACCCATTCAGAACTTTATTTTTGTCTGAATCTATCTTTGTTGCATATTTGTAATCCTTTTCTGACCAGGAGCGCTTCTTAACATGCTAAGTGGTGTGGCTAGAAGTAAGGTTGTGGCTT